CAGCTCAGAAAGAAAAAGCCTTGGGACTGTTACATTGGGTCAGCCACGTGGGTCTGGCTGGTCTCGTGCCCTTTCTCTTACTTTAGGTGGCAGGCGGTAGAAACCATGTACCCTGAAGCACGGGGTTTATGGCCTTGCAAAAACCTTTTCTCTGCTATAGCAGCAAATTGTCAAATTCAAGAAAAAGTCTGTTCTTTTTCACACATTATTATCATATCGTCCCAAAACAAACAAAAAAATATAGACAGTAATGCCTATGGGCTTACTAGTGTTCTTTAAAATATTTCACTTTATTTCTGGGTAATGTTATGATATAATGCCAGAACAAAATATGTGAGAGAAAATGAATTATTTCATTTTGAATGCTTTATGCCCATATGGAGAAAAAAAAGGCAATTTTTATTATTTGATAATTTAGCTTTTTTTAGTGTTAGTCATCTTATTTTAGTGTTGTCATCTTATTACTTTGAAAAAGAAATTCCGTTTAAAAAATAAATAGTTGAATTGGAAACTGGTGGTGTGCTCAGAGAAAATATTTTTTATATATAGGTGCTGCTAATATTTTGCTAATATCTTTAGCTTTAACTTTAGCTTTAAGAAATCCTTCTGCCGCAGCACAGAAGAATGCACAGCTACATGCAGGAGCAGAGACTGTCCCATTAGGTTGCCTAAATGTCAGAGGCAAATTCTAAGCAACTCAAAACACTTTCAAAAGAAAGCACCGTACTCAGGTTGCTCTTTTCTTATCTTTTAAATACTTTTGTGTGTTTCCTTGTTAGCACAGGCCCAGGTGTTCCAGGGAGGTTGTCCTAAGTATGCAGCACTAAATTCGAGCTCTGTAATTATACTTGTTTTCTCAATGATCCTTGTTTTATATGCTGAGACTTTGGTGCTCTGGCATTAGAGAGAGGTAATATTGTGGGATTAAGGTAAAACAGGTGCAGAGGTTATTACTAGTACAGGAAAATAATTACCGTTTCCCTCTAAGCAATGCAAAGATTTGTAGCGACTTAGGGCAGAGGAAGTGATTTGTGTTTCTGCACTGCTGCTTTTTTGACTTTTTGCTTATCCACGGATGCAGTCTCGTGGTATTTTGACAATCTCTCAACGGGGTATTTGTCTTGAGCAGCCTCAGTCTGCAGCAGCAGAGGCTTGAGTGCTCCTGTGGGTGCGTGTTTAGGTGAGGAGGAATGTGTGTCATTTTTTGTTCCACAAGGTCTGTTTTATAGTGAATATTTCTAAAGAACTGGTTAATAATGCAAGTAAACAAGATGAATCAATGAAGAGACAACAGGTTTTGAATGCAAGGATGTTAAAATTAGTTTCTTGAAACAGTGTTAGTTCATTAACTGCAGAGCCCTGTAGAAGTCAGGCAGAGAACTGTGGACCAGCTTACATGTGATCTTTCCATATCTACACATTGTGTAATTTTTTTAGAGTTGTTACAAAAATATATTAAGTTTTAGGAGTGTCCCTTTGAATTAATGGTTCTTATATCTAGAGTTCCTAGTCAAGATGAGAATCATAACTGCACAAAAGACTTAATCTTCAGATAAAAGAAGAGACTTAAAGTGGAACCGAAAAACTGAAGAAATTCCACTGCAACATGAGCAGTCATGTTGTCATAGCTGTAATGTCACACATTGAGTAACCACAAAGGAGCTGTCTGTGTGAAAACCACTTGGGTGACAAGTCAAAATATCATGAAGAAAAAAGAAAAGCTTTGAAGTTAAAAATAATTATTTATGGAAGAAAATACCTCATTAAAAATACTGTATAAAAATGTAGTATTAGTAATATAAATGTATTTATGTGGTTAATTCAGCACAAAAATATAAGAAGATTATTTAGAATTGTTTTTGTTTTCTTTATCATTTGTTGTATTTAAATCAAGCCAGATATATATTGTGATATCCTATAGCTCTAGCAGAATTATCAAATTTAATGAAAACGGTTAGGATAATCTTTTACTTGCATCAGAGCAAATTTTCTTCCCGATTCCAATGCTTTTAAATTGTTAGAGGATTTATACTCACATATATGAGTGAACTACTATGGCTTGATTAGCTGAGTTGTATAACTAATTGTGGTTTTTGCTCACTGAAAGACATTTAAAATAGCATACTTCTTTTTTTTTTTTTCCCTGTGGTGTGGTGAGAAACTCATAATTATTCAGCCTGTCTCAGCTGCCACATGATAACCCCTTTAAAGCTACTTTAGACAAAGTAGTGTTCTGAGGCCTTATTCGCACTGCATAGAGGTTGTTGGAATAATTGTTTGTAGTGTTGATGCCCATGTAGGCATCAAAATTGGTATTTCTGGTTTGGGGGTGCTGCTGTTAGCTCCGCTTACAGAGGAGCTATGCTTTCAGCATCTTCCTAAATCAGGTGGGAGAACCTCATTGCTGGCACACAGCCAGTTTTGAAAGCTGTGGCCTGAGTTCTTATCATGTTGCAGGTCTGAAAAATGTTTTGCATGCTAAACTCCCATTAACACTTGAGATTCAGTAGCAGTTTGAATTACACAAGAGTTTGTGAACCTTCCACCAAAAGTGGGAAATTTGATTATGGGAAAACTTTCTTGTTTCTTCTATAAGCAATTTTAATTGTTACATGCTCTTGTCATTTTTTTTTTTTCAGGAAAAAAAGAGGCATTAACATGAATATTACTAGACTACATCTATGCTTTGTATACCAAAATAAAATCATTATTAATAGACAATGGGAGTGGACAGAACCAAATGTTACATAATAGTCTTTCTTCAATTGATCAAAAGGAAGGAAAAAATACACAAGGAGCATCTTGAAAACAAGTTTAAAGGGATGTGGGAAACTCTGTAATACAACATTGTAAGTAAATAAAACTTTTTATATTTTAAACCTGCCACTGATTTTCTTGTAAAGCCTTCACATATAGTAATCACACTAAATTTACTTCAAGAGGTCTGGTTACTATTAATATGGCTCTTATTATTACTAGTATTTCTTGACCCTTTCCTTCATCCCTAATGAAACAACTTGATGATGGGGGAATTCCCTGAGTGGGGGAATTCTCTGGCAGGAGATAGGAATCTCCTGGGTGTGCTGAGGGATCAGCCCAGTAGCAGCACTGTCACCGCAGGGCTCCTCAATGGGAACTGCAGGAGCATCTGATGGGGCACCTGGGCACCCTGGTAGGGCACTGTAGTGCCGAAACTGCCCCCACCTTACTGCGCAGTCACAGGGTATATCAGTCATGCTACTGAAGTTGCTTAAGGATATTTTATTTTCTGTTCAAATGATAGTATTAGACTTTATAGGATTATGAATAACTTGTCCTCTTTAACTGACATTTGTCCCTGTAGTAGCACATAGTTCTATTTTGCAGTTATAATGTCTGCATTAACAGTAAAATACTTTTAACTGATTTTTTTTTTCCAAGCTATTTCTTTGGAGCTATACAGATGAAATTAGCTTCTTTCTTAATTGTTGCTTATAGCTGTATTTTATAGCTTCTGATTTTTCTAAGATTGGGAGTTCTTGGTTTTCAGAGAGCATAAAAGGAAAGCTCATAAATGCTCATAAATGAGTGCTAGTAATTAACTTTCAACTTTCAAAGTTTATTAGTATCAAAGCTGTTAAAATAATTCCAACTATTTCACATCTTACCTGATGAATTAAGAATAGGCAGGT